GACGCGACGGCCCCATCGACCCATAATCGAGTACAGGGAGAGAGAGACGACCTTGAACAACTGCGCAACCCAGGCCACCCGACAACAACTCCACCGAGCAACTGTGCCACGTCCCGTCTCAAGAACCGCACCAAAGCTCCACCACCACACATCGGAGAAACCACCAACCTGGATTCACGAACCGACACCGGAAAAGACAAAATCTATCCGCGAAAGGCGAGGCCGAGCTCCATAAAAAATGGAGGGGTAGAGCGCAAAATAAAGGGATGGGGTCCAAGCGGCCAAGGGCAGGCGACCATCAGCGAAGCTCAGTGGCCGCTGAGGAAGGCAAGTCTGCATAAATCGAACGACTAGACGACAAGGATTTTTAGGAACAAGAGGATTTTGGGAACGAGGGTTTTCTCCACTTTTATAGTTTTTTACTTCACAATAAGAATTTTAATTCTTTTCAATTTTTATTGCACAATATTTTTTTATGAAACACTCGTGTAGTTCACAGACGCTGTACTAGTGTATTTTATAGGCAAATGCCTAGAGCTTAGCTAAAAATTTCTAATATTTATGTTATAAAGATATTCTTATGAATTTTTTCTAGGTATTTACCTTTAAATATATTTTGTAGGTAAATGCCTAGAGATTTTCTACAATTTTTATATTCCCCACGGATTTTTCTATAGCTACTTACGTACAACTATATTTTATAGGTAAATGTCTAGAGGCTGGCAACAAATTTCCACCATTTATTTTATAAAGATTTTCCTACATTTTTTTTTCTCTATGTATTTACATACAAATATATTTTGTAGGTATTTGCCTAGAGATTGTCTACAATTGTTTTTTTTTTCCTACAAAATTTTCTCTATGTACTTACCTCGAAATATATTTTATAGGTAAATCTCTAGGGATTTCCTACAAAATTCTGACATTTATGCTATGAAAATAATCCTATAAGTATTTTCCTACAAATATATTTTATAGGTAAATGCCTAGAGATTGCCTACTAATTTTTCACCATACAAATTTTCTCTAGGTAGTGTCTAAAAATATATTTTGTAGGTAAATGTCTAGAGATTGGGTAAAAATTTCTTACATTTATGTTGTTGGCATCTGACCTGGTAATCCGCATTATTGATATGAAACTATATCCTTAGCGGATCACTAATGATGCTAGCCAAACTTTTCTCATTCCTGTTCAAGCCTGGACCTAATTCCTACTCAATCCAGAGAACAACCAACTTTTCATCTAAAAATCGAGGTCACCATAAACCGAGGTCAACAAAGAATGAGGTCACCAAAACCCAAGCAGGCGACGAGACGCCTATAAGACATGATCTTACACCACAAGCTACTATAAATAGCAAATTTTTATACTTGTACAAGGATGGCACTCTGAACGTTCAAATATACAATACAGCTCAAACAGCTTTCACCTCAGTTCACCTTGGACCGGGGCCATCGTTATTGCGTTTATGCATGCTTTACGTTTAAACTGCCATAAATCACCACTTAATTTGATCGTAATACATTGTTAACAATCACAAAACAACAGTTTGGTGCTAAGAGGAGGGCTTCATAAGTTATTTGAGGTCATATATCCGACAAAATTTGTATCAACTGCATCCCGTATCATCTTCAAACGATCATTTTCATCATGTCTTAATCTGAACATCGTGGTCGCACATCCAGAGACAGCCACAGTTGTGGTACGACCCAGTCCGCCGGACGAACCACCGCAATTCCTATCACGACGGATTATACTGTTCTGTTCCAGAATCCAGAGTTTGCTCGAGGTTTAGCCACTTTAATGGCTCAAACTATACCTGGGGCGTCGATTGTTGCTCCCGGACGCTCTGTCCAGCCAACGCCTGCCAATCCACGTATCCCATCAACTCAAAGGCAAGGCATTCATGAAGAAACTTCATATGCTACCTCTCAACCACATAGTGGAGCTTCCCGTCAACACCGAGAAAGATAAGCACGACAAACTGAGGCTGTTAATGTTCCCCCAGTCGTTCACCATGAAATGACTGCCGAAAGTCAATCCGGCCATCACTGGAGATCAACATCGAACATACGGCCCCAAGCTCATTCTTCCCCGGTGCAAGCAGATTTACGTCAGCAGATAGAAAGAAATCGTTCAGCTCGACAGGATTCAACTAAGTTAGAAGTGTTATGAAATAAGATAGCCCAATTGGAAAGTCGACAGAAAGCGCAAGAAGACTCTCCACGCCGAGCATCCACCTCGGCGCAAGTTTATCTGGAAGCTGATTCCCCTTCAGCTCCTGAGCATACCTCGAAGCCAATACCTGGAAAAGTCAAGGTTATACAGATTGGATTGTATGATGGGACGTCGGATCCCGACGCTCACCTCGGTCATTATACTTCCTGGATGGATCTCCATGGCGCGTCGGATGCACTCCGATGTCATATGTTCTCTCTCACACTGGGGCCCCGAGCTAAAAAATGGTACCACTCTTTACCTCCTCATTCTATTTGGAAGTGGCAACAATTAAGGTCGGCTTTCCGATCTCATTTTATCGGGCCCAAATCTGTTTAGTCCCAAAGGAATCCATCGCAAATATAACGCAAAAAGATGATGAAAGTGCCAAGGATTATATTGATCGGTTCAATGACCGAGTTCAGAGCATGGAACCTTGTCATCCGGAAACCCTGCTCGTGATGGCCATAGACGGGGTTGAAACCAAATTCAATATTTTTATAGACGTTGTGTCAAAATAAACCTCACACTTTTCAAGAATTTTTAGCTCGGGCTCAACAACACATCATAGCCGAAGAATCTATGTCTGTTCTCGACTTCAATTTTACTCCGAAATTGCTTAATTCTAGGTACGGTGTGGAGGGTAAAAAGAAAAATAAATCTTCCGACAGAAAACAAGCTAAACCACAGTTCAAAGGCTTTCTGAGAGGCGATGCTGACGATCCTGAAGTTAGGGCCGCAAGAAAGCAATATGCCAGTAACCTAAAGTCGGGATACCAAACGGTTTATTCGGCTAGGGCCGCCATAATTTATGAATAATTAAAAGGGAAAGGCATTTTGCGCGAACTTAAGCATGTCCGAGTCCCGGAGGAGAAATTAGACAAATCTCGGTATTGTGATTATCATAAATCACCAGGACACAACACAGATGAATGTATAAGTCTTTTAGCTGCTCTGTTAAGGCTAATCGGTCATCCACAACTCAGAAGATTTTCCAAAAATCCCGACATCCGAAGACTGGGGCTGGGGCGTCAAGTCGAGGCATACAACGATGACGAGGATGATGACCGAGCTGCTGTTCAAAAAGAAT